GAGATTCTGACTGGCTCTAACTCAGTGTGATCTGTTGAACCTAGAAAGGGTCAAAGTGATCAGAAAAAGGAGCAGTACTAGCTAGAGGATCAAAGAGGCAGAGCAGGACAGGGGCACAGGAAAGAACTAAGCTATGCTTGTAGGTGAGGTGGCACGTGGTAGGCAGAGTACCCAGTATCAGCCCTACCTATGCCCATTCCCCTCTCACACCTAAGCCAACCCTGGAATCTTTCATGGCTATGAGATAAGGGTCAATGCTTCTCACATACATGGGCCAGACCTTGTGACTCAGCCTCTCAGGGCTCTGAGGAGGCAAAGCTTCCATGTCACCTCCATCAAGAGCAGACCTCCTGCAGCGACCTCATAGCAAAGGAAACAGGTGTCTCCTCCAACATCCCCCAAGACCTAGAGCATCTGGGACCCAGAGGGGCCTCCCAGCTCTGCCTCCTCCACCCTGGCAACAGAGCACCTCCTCAGTTGCTGGGGTGAGGGGGTCTTCCTGGGACTCCTAGTAGCCTTGCCCTGACCTGATCTGGGAAGAAAGGACCATCATGCCAAAAGGAGAAGGCTGGACCTGGTTCCAGGTTCATGTGGCTCCCTCACGTGCCCACCACTGAGCTGTCACATGTTGTATGTCATTTCATCTTACCATAGTGCTAGAAAGACACGCCCAAGTGCAGCTGGTTTCCACTCAGTACATTTGTAGTAAGTCCCTGCTAGGTCGAGGTAGTCTTCAGAGATTGGTTAAACTAAGGTCCGGACTTCCAGGAAAGCCGAGAACTGGAGTCCAGAGCCAACCAGACCTGCCTGGGTTTGAATCCAGACATCAACAGATGGGACTGACCTTAACTGACCATGTGACTCTCGCCTCCTCCGCATTCTCCTATATAAAAAGATCATGAGACAGCACAGGGTTGTTGAAGGATTCATATAGGTAACCAACTTAGCGCACAGGACGAAAGCTTTCAAATGTGTGCACCGTTTTGTGTTAATAAAGCGAGTATACAGCAGGCCTGTGGCAACTTCTGAAGTGCAAAAGCATTCCTGACGGCAGGCCCCTTGCTTTCGTTACTACTTGAGCCCATCACAATGCCTCTCCCCAGAATAAGATAAAACAAGCTCTTCCTTTGCCATTTTGGCAATCTCCATAGCCTGACCTCGGAGGCATCCCAGGCGCCCTCAGGCCCCCGGCAGCCCCGCGGACACCCCTCCGACGCCGGATGTGCGCTGAGGTCCAAGGTTTGGAGCGTTTCCGGGACCAGCCGGGTCACACAGCGGCTCGGCGGTGTCTGGCAGCCCCACCCTTCCTGGCAGCCAGACCTCCTCCTCCTCCGGCCTCTGAAAGCCTGCCAGCGCCGGGGAGGGAGCGCGGGGCCCGGGAGACTGGAGGTCCTGCTGGGCCGGGAGGGCACAACCGGGCAGAGGGGACCCGGTGCTCCTCAGCCCAACAAACTTGCCAGACACACCCATCTCCTCAAGTGCCGAGTGCTCCCCCTAGTGGGGCAGGAAGAATGCCCGATGTGGTCCAGCTGCCCTCCTCTGGACTGCCAGAGCCAGGGTGGGCCTTCCCAGGCCTACCAGATGGATGATGAATGGCAACACTGGCTCACCCTGCCGCGTCTTACAGAGGAAAACACCGGTTCACATCCATTGCCTACAACTTGGTGAGTTTTGAATGTGCCACACTTTCAGGACCCACTTTACAGATTAGAACACTGAGTCAGTTCTCAGGCAGAGCTGCAACTATGTGTTCTTTTCATCAGTACACCACTCTCAAAACTGACCAGGACAAAGACCTGCCACCTACCTGTCCACTCCCATGACCCATGATTTTCCACACCTGACTATACACAGACACCACACCAGCTGAGAACAGGACTGGCTCTCCATGCCTCCTCTTGCTCACTGGAACCTAAGTACCCCGAGGGTAGCCTGAATAAAGCTTTTGACTGACTGATAGATCACCCTGCTGTTCCAGATGCCTCAGGGTTAGACTCTGCTTCCAACAACAGGCCAGACCCCACCATCCTGCAGGAGACAAAGGCTTTCAGCTCACTGCATAGGGATAAACTTGCCTCTGTGTAGCGCTACCACACACTAGCTGTTAATGCCAGGGAGGGGGTTCAGATGCTCCAGGGAGTAGGAAGAGTATCCAGCCCCAATCCTCACCCTGCTGCAATAAAGAGAGGGCATTTTGGAGTAACCCACTCATCAAGGAAGGGAGGTGGCCCTTGCCCTGTTGTCTTCCCTGAAAATAGTCTTTCCTTTGAGCTCTCCAGAGACAGACCTCCTGAATTGAATGTAGCCCTGGAATCCCGGTTTTGGGGATAAGCCCCAGATGTCTGTCTACTATGGAGCCATTGGCTTGGAGGCTCTTCCAGGCCTCTGAAGCCAGAGGAGGAGGAAGGCCTGCTGCCTACCACCCACAGCCCGGATCCTGTCACGGGACTGTACTGGGCCCAAGCTCAAGGACAGAACAGGCAGGCAGTGAGCTGTGTTTTCTGGGAAGGCAGCCAGTACTTGTGCCCTCAGGCTTCCGGGCAGTGAGGAGAGCAGGCACTCACTGCCGCAGGCACTCACTGCCTCAGGTCCCTCAGGCCCAGGCTGGGTGGGCACACCCCAATTCTGGTGTCTGTGCCAGAAAACCACAGCAGGGGGCCACAAACACTCAGCTCTTTGCTCTTGAAGGGAGGAGGGGCATGACCAAGGTTCAGGGCCATGCCAGCCTGTGCCCAAGAGCACACAGAGTGCAAGTCTCTGTTTGTTGTGTTCTGAGTATGTCCTGTCTCCTCTGCCTGACTGGACTGTCTGAGGCAGGGGAAAGATATTTGATCTGCCCTCAAAAACGCAGAGTTCTAAATCCTAGGTAGTGTTGCCATCTACCTGTGACACCATAGTGCCATTTCTCCCTCTGAGCCTCAGTTTCCCTAGCTGTCCTGTGAAAAAGTATCCCCTGATATGCCCACCTTCCTGGTCGTTTAAGGGTGTAAGGTATCTCTGGACACATCTAACCCATGATGTGCCTATGAGGGCTGCTGCTTCTGACTGTCAAGAGGTTTTATGAAGTCTCATTAACAATTAGGGGAAATGATGGCAGAAATGAAGATCAAGTAGGGTGTGAGCTGCGGAGCATAGACTGGGCTCGTGATAGGTGCTTATTTGAGGCCCTGAGGACAGGGCTTTCTAGTCCCTGTGTAGCTGCCAGAGCAGGTAATTAACCACTGAGAATGACCTCTAAGATGGAGCTGCTCAGTGTCTCCAGGCCCTCAGTACACACTTAGTAACCTAAGAAGAGTCCTAGGAGATACATTTAAGGTTTCAAGCTAGTTCAGGAGAACTCTCTTCCAACTGCAAAAGGCACTTGTGTTAGAGAATTGAGCATGGCAAAGGCTCTAAGATTTATAGAGGGCAGATTTAGATAACTTCAAGAAAGAATTTTCTAGAAGCTGAGTTTTACAACAGACTAGACAGAGTTCATAGGCAGTACACTCCCAGTCACTTAGAATGTTTGTTTGGATCAGACATGTATGGTGGGTGTGGGGTGATTCTATAAAGAGCTGGTGAGTCAAGGGCGTTAGCGAATCCTCCCCTTGTCCTGGGGATTCCTGGCTTCTCTGTTCTCCACAGGCTGCAAGGCCATCCCTGGTATTAATTAGCAAGCACTGCCTGAGAAGTTATTCAGAACATAAGTGCTTGGCCAGATCCCACTGCTAGTACTGCCTGAAGCGCTACGCATCTTGTACACATTACCCCGAGTAGGGGGGCCAGGTATCTATCAGGACAGGCAGTTTAATGGGTTATAAATGGTTCTGCTCCCTTGTAACCTTTTGTTACACACATACACAAAGTATATCTCTGTCTCTTTGCAGTGTAAATGGAGCCCATGTAGATGCCTCACACTTACAGCCACAAAGCATGTGGCCTTCATAGTGCCAGGAAAAACAAGTCTATGCATGAAAAGAACCCACCCTGAAATGTGGCAGGCCAGCTTTCCAGGGCTGGGTGGTCCCCTCGTTGCCACACACAAGTTTGGTACATGGCATTTACCTGCCAAAATCCACACTCCATTCTCCCTAAGTCAGTGGGGAAAGGGCCAAGGGACAGCCTGTTTCTAAGGAGTCTGAAGGTGATTTGGCGGGGGCTGCCACCCCATGGCTTCAGCAGAGCTTGCTGTCTCCAGCCATCCCTATCAGCCTGGAACCAGGCCAGCAGATGGCCAGCTGCAGACCAGCTGTTGGAGTGAAGAAAACCAGCAACCAAGAGTCTTCATCTTAAGAGAGGGCCCGGCCCAGACCCCCAGGAAAGTGCAGCTCTATATGGAAGGTCACTGGGTTCCTTCAGGCTAATTAATCTTGACACAGCAGAGTATGATTTACCTTGTTTTTATCTGGCCCACAAGGTTAAGCATGGGAGTGGAAGCACTTTTTAGAGCTGTGGTAGTCAGACATCACCCAGAAGTGAAGTAGAGAGGCAGACAGGGACTGCTTCCTAGAGACAGAAAGCATCTTGCCTGAGGCCTGTCCTGTGGCACGTCAGTGGCAAGTCCAGATCTAGAGCTGGACCCTTTGCCAGCACCATCAAGTCCTTCCCACATGAACTGCAGGTTGAAGGAAAGAAACATGGCATGTCACCTGCTGCCTCAGGGACCCACCTGCCACCTTCCCCCTCCCTCTTCCACTCACACTGGACCCAGCAATCTTGCTTGGGTAAAGAAATGATCAGGCTGTACATACTGTCCCTCCAGCTGGAGGCTGGCTCTTTCTACCTTCTGTAGCCAGGCCCTATGAGTCTGTCCTCAGCTCCAGTACCATCTCCAGGAGGCCTTCCCAGCCTGCTGTCATCGTCTAGTGTACTCCATGGAATGTTGTCTTATGTTTGCCTCTCTTTGTGTGTGTTGGGGGGGGGGGTCTGTCTGTCTGTCTGTCTGTCTGTTCCCACCAAAATTTAAACATCAGGAAAACAGACAGTGATGGGGACTCAATACACACAATGGACTAAAAATGAAAATTTTATTTTAGTGGCAAATCACCCAGTGTTGGTGATACATATTTGTGGAGATATTATCAAACCTTATATTTGAATAACGAGCTCTCCCTGGGATGACCTAAGTGGTCCCTGCCACCCTTGGCCAGCACCTGCTTTCTGCTCATATACTCTGACTGGGAGAGGAGGAAAAATATTACCCTGGACCCTGAAAGATCCAACAGATTTTCCTGAGAGCAGAGTCCTGCCTTGTTTGCCTTCTCTCTGCAGAAAGCAAACTCAGGTGATGGGCTGGCAGCCTTCTCTCCTCTCTCCCCTCCCGCCATTGTTTCCCACTGTGCTTCCTCTCCTTTCCTGAGTACTTGTCAATCTCCACTTGTGGCAAATTGCTTCTCAACTTTGAAAACCAAGAATGATGACTAACCAAGACAGCTTGCAAGATTTTTGCAAGCACTGGGCTACTTAGAGAGAGAAAACACTATAGATTACTCTTCTCAATCAAGAATTGCTGAAACTCCATATATTAAATATTTATGGGAAGTCTATGAGCCAGGCCCTGTGCCAGGCATGCTGGTGATGTGGGAGTGGGGTTCTGCTGCTGAGCAACTCTCCTTAGGCCCATAAGAAGGAGATCATTTTGACTCAATAGATGTTTTATGAAGCTTTTACAAATACTAAATCCTAGGAGACTTACCATGAATGAGGAATAGGCCTGACCACAAACAGCGGCCCATGGAGAAGAATGGATTAATGACAGTTTCAATATTCTGTTTTAGGTCCTGTGAAGGAAACAGGGCAGGTAGGTGGGGACAGTGATCAGAGCTGGAGGCCTGCCTTGAAGGAGAAGTAGGGATAGACCAGGACAAGAGGGAAAGGATAATAGCTAGAAGGGGTGTTCAGGCAGGCGTAGAGGTAGGTGTGAGCTGGCAGCCTCCAAGGACTGCAGGGAGGCTGGAGGGGCAGAGAGAGGAGGAAACAGACATGCTGAGATGGGGTGCAAGCAGGCAAAGCAAAGCAGGCAGCCGGCTAGAAGAGTGCTCTCAAATTGGGGAACGGCCTATTTGCAGCAAGCAGCTAGGGAAAGCATGAGGGAGCAATGGAAAATGGGCTGGAGTTTCCAGAGTTTAAACTTGATCCTGCAGGAATCCAGGGAACCTAGGGCTGGAGAGAAAGGGTGGCAGGGGGAACCCACGCTGGGGGCTGTTCTCAAGTGAAGGTGACAAGAGTCACAGCAGAGTGGTGGGGTGGGAGTAGCCTTGGGAGCTACAATAATAACATTGGGATGTTTCCAGGCCCCCCTTCCTGGCCTGTGAAACCCCATTTTGATTTCTTCTGTGACCCCATTGCAGATCCTCTCCTCCATCAGCTCTCCTCCCCTTCCCTTTAGAGATCTGTCAGGACGGAGAGCTTCTGCTGAATGGCGTGGTTAGCAGTATGCAGGGATGGGAGGTCAGAACAGCTCACCCAGAGCAGACTCCTCCCCCATCTGCCTGAGCATGTACTCATGCACACTCAATGGAAGCCCAGAATGCCCCCATTCCCTCCCCTAAAAATCCGTGCATCTGGACACTGAGGCAAGCAACAGAAACGTCTTGAGAAATATACATTTTGCCTTACCTCAGAAAGCTGTGGATGGAAAGGATTCTTGGGCCCTTGGCAGTGCAGTTGACCGTGGAATACTTCTTTCCTTTGAGAAAATGCACCCTCTCTCCAACCAACTGAGTGATGTGACTTTGGCCCCGAGTACATGAGAGGTCCCTGGTCTTGCTTCGTTGGATAGCAAGCAGCAGAGCTGACAGGAGCTCAAGGCGGGGAACCTGTCCAGACATTGCCTCTGAGAGAGCTCACCCCAAACCCCCACCTTCTTGCTCTGGGTCTCAGTTTCCCAACTATTAAAAAAGGAGATGAATGGTTGGCTCTAAGGAACCTGTTGTCGCTAACCTTTTCTCTCCAGGCATGTGTGAGTGTTCTCCTCCCCCTGCCACAGAGCCAGGCCTTCCACCAGCCCCATTTTTCTCTTCACACCATGGTGAAGAGGAAGGAAATGTCAGTCCCAGTCACCAGCCAGCATTTAGGAGCATCTGATAGGAGGAAGCCCCTTCCTGCCAGCCTTCCATCTGTCAGCGCTGTCCACTGAGCCAGGTAAGGTGTCAGCAACTGCCAGTAGTTGCATCAGCTGCCTGGCGCAGGATCTCACCAATTCCACCCCCTTCCTTTTCTTGCTGGTTTTGGGTGGCTTTCAGGATTCCTGGCTAGGCAGTATGCCCACAGCCAAAGTCCCCATGTACCCCTGTGACCTGAGGACGGTACGCAAGGCCATGCCAGTCATCCATTGCCCCCTCTGCCATCCACCAGGAGCACAGCCCGGGCCTGAATGGACTCCTAGGAGGGGACAGAGGAAAAGGAGGGCACTATGGGACTTTACCTTTGTCTCCAGGGACAGCCGTGGAACCTGAGTTGGAAAACAGCTGAGAGGGGTCACACAAAAAAAATTAGGAAAGAAAACACCTGGTCAGAGAAGAAAGGCTGAACTAGGAAACACTTGGCAGCCCTGCAGCAGGCAAGGGAGCAGAAGGACAGAGGGAGATGCCTCCTGCCTTCAGCCTCACAGGTCCGCTCCAGACCACACCCCAACCTCTGCCTAGTCCTTCACCCCCACCTTGACTAACAGCCAGCATCACTAGTATTAAGTCTCAGATTCCAGCACCCAGCAGGATCTTGGTCCCCTCCCTCCCGGAGGGGAGGTTCATCCAGGGAAAAGTTGATCCAACCTCAAGAAGCCAGACCCCTCCAGGAGGCCTCTGGTACCCTGTCCCAAGCACAGAAAGAGCCTTGCCTAGCACACAGTGGGAAACATGGGGCCTGGAAGACACAGGGCAGCCCCCCCCCCAAGGCCCTGGCCCTCAGCCCAGCAGTGTTGGCAGCACCTCTTTTGGCTTCAGCACACTCCCTTGGAAACAAATCTCTTCTACTCACTTCTTCCCTCCAGTTGGCTGAGGACAAGTCGAAGCTATTGGCACAAATCCTTTTGTTCTTTTTAACCTTTCCCTCTCCATTTTTCCCCCTTGCTGGCAAAAAAAGTTTGTAAGATATTATGCTAGGCTTTTTAATGTCTTAATTTCTTCAGGAAAATAATGGGGCTTACCATAAATCATGGCAGACCTGATATCTATATGGCTTAGGCAGACCTTTGCCAGAGTCTCCAGCTGTAGACAAGGCAAGTGTGACCCTCCAAAGTTCCAGAGAAGCATACAGGATCAGGTAAGGACCTAGGCACCCCATGAGGCCCCAGCAGCCCAAAGGGGGGAAAGCCTCTCTCTGCAGAGTGCTTTCCCCTTGGCCGTGGGGGCCACACAGAAGCCTCATTGAACAATATGGGTCATCAGAGCTAGAAAACCTGCCCTGTCTCCTGGTTCCCACTGGACAAAACTTTGTCCTCCTCTCCCACTGTGAGAGAAGCGAAGTGTCTGGGACTCAAGTATTCTGTAAATAACTTCTTGGTTTAAATACAGCAGCAACCTTCCAGCCGATGTCACCCTCCTCATACAAGGACAGTGAAGCCTGAAAGATGAAATCATCATGAAGACCACTTGAGAAGAAACAGGGCTAGACTTCAAACTCTGGCCTTTCTAACTCTGAAGCCCAGGTTGAAACTAGCTGCAACCCTATGGCCCTATGGCAACGACTCCCCTGTGGAGGGAGAGGGCACACATAGTCCAGAGTGAGCCAGGGCGGCGACAGCTCAGTGAAGCTTTGGCCTGGGGAGCTTCATGCCCACAGTGGGGTTGGACTGAGCCCAGCGGCCCCTCAGAGGTCAAGCTTCAAATTCAAAAATTCTAGGATGGGTGGGAAGAATAGATTTATTCCACCCTAAAAATCCCTGAGGCATTCCACATGCCTCACACAGATGTGGGCGTCAGGGTGTACTTCACCATCCTTGGGGTCTTGATCCTCATTGGGTTTCTATCAAGACCTGAACAGACATCAGAATGACTTCTTCTGGCTTCCTGGAGCTGAAAACGGGCCATTCATGGAAAGATGAAGCCATCACAGTTGTGGCTACTCAGGTTAGAGCTGGTATACTCAGCTGAGTCCTCTCCACAGACAAGCACAGGGGACCCACTATCTCCACTCTCCTTCCTGCTCCGGAGCCTTTCAGGGAGCCCCCTTTAAAGCAAACCTGGCAGGCTGGGCTCCCTCAGCCTTTCTCTACACTGGGATATTAGCCTCTATACTCAGGACTAGTTGGGTTACAGGAAACCTCACATCTGAGGCCCAGGGAGGAGGTGATAAGCTTGGGGAAGCTCCACGATGGGTCAGAAGAACCCTCCTAATATCTTCAACTTCTCAGTCATTCACAAAGAACCTACTGTGCGCTATTCATTGTGCAAGACTCTTCAGAGCTTCTAGACCCTTGGGGCTGGCACTGTCTCTGGTGTAAGGACAAGGGAAGGGTACAGAAGAAGGATGGACAGGAGCTGGGCATGGTGCATGCCTTTAATCCCAGAACTCAGCAGGAGAGGCAGAGGCAGGCAGATCTCTGAGATAGAGGCCAATCTGGTTTACATAGCAAGTTCCAGGCCAGCTGGGGCTATAAGGAGGGAGAGTCTACCTAAAAACACCTCCCCAAAAAGAGGGGGAACAGAAGGGTTTGGGCAGGAGAAGCAGTTTGGGGGGCCCCAGGGAAAGCCACATGGAAATGGCACTGAGACAGGCTTAGAGGGTCTTAGGATTCTGGCAGTGGCATTGGCAGAAGACAGGCAGGCATAGTTCTAGGAGGAACAGAGGCTGCGCTCCAACTGATGGACTTGCTGTGCTGCTCTCCAGTTATCCCCTTAAGTTTGAGATAGGAAAATAAGTTTCCAATCCTGGAGCACACATTCCTGAGCATCACCCCCTCTCACACTTGCTGCTAAGTCTCACTTCCTGTTTGCTCAACCAATCCTACCCAGACATATTCTTTTGGAACCTGCAATCTTACAGAGTGAAATGATTTCTAAAACATAAATTCTGGGACAACCCCTACCATCAATCAGTATATCTGACATTTTGTCAATAGGGAAATTGAGGCCCAGAGACATTGCCTGATGTTCCTGGGATCATCTAGCTGGTGAATGGCAGAGCCAGGGCTCTCCCTGTAGCCCCAGCTGGCCTGGAACTCACTATGTAGACCAGGCTGACCTTGAACTCACAGAGATCAACCTACCTCTGGCTCCCCAGTGCTGGGATTAAAGTGTGCCCCACCAAGCCAGGCTAGAAACTTCTTTCTAATTACATTACTGATCACATATTTGTCATAAGCACATCACAGGATGATTCCTGGCCTTCAGAACCTGATTAGCCCCTCACTTTTCTCTCTCAGCCTCTGCCGTCATGCCCTCTCTGGTGGCTCTTACTGCATGTGCCTGAGGATTTATGGCATGGGTCTCCCACTAAGGAAGTCAGTATCAAATTCGTGGAATGGATCTCACCCCACAACCTGCGGAGCACTGCAGCCCATCTTACCCACCAGCCTCAGGGCAAAAGTGAAGCAAGTAACAGCCTCAGCACCTGTCCCCAAGGTGGCTTCCTTCCTTAGTCACCTACATGAAGTCTGAATGGATGAGGACCTGCCAGGGGTAGCTGGGGTCAGTATGACTATAGGTAAGAGAATGTGTCAATGACAGAGAATACCACCAAGAGATTTGCCTGGGCTGTGACATCTCACAAGATCCAAAATGTCAACAGTGGAAGCCACTAAGCCTGTGACAGCAGATGACACCCAGGCTGAGGCTGAGGCTGGCTGTCACACAGAGGTGAACAGCTACAAGTCTGCAGGCTCATACCAGCCCTGTACACCCCACCCGTGGCCCTCCCTGCAGGCCTTGTTTAATTTTTGATCACCCCCTCCCCCTTGCATGCATGTACTCCTGGATTCTTCAACCCTTGTAGCTTTCTTAGGGGGCAAGCAGCTGGGGAAGAACTCATGAACCCCAGACCTCGAAGTGAAGCTACCAAGCCAGAGGCTGGCCACTACTCGGTTGCCTGCCCCAGCCTTGCTCACAGGGTATTTGGTGTACAAGTCAGTGGATATGAAAGCAAGCAGACATGTTTGCAGCTTGAAGCACTTTTAGTTCACCTTCTGGCTTGCACTGACTAATACTTCAGCTTGCTTGGATTTCACATGGCCTGGGAGGGTCTGGAGCCTTGACGGTTTTGTTTTTGTTTTTGTTTTGCTCCACTAACGGGGATGGACCATGTCCCCAACACTCTTGGTCCAAGCTACAATGGGAGGGAAGAGTCATATTTTGAGTGGGGTCTAGGTGATACTGGGAGACTCCCTTCTGGTGTATAGGCATGGAACCTCAGAGCTGGAAGGGCCATGTCATCCTAGAGCTGTGGCCACTAAAGACCCCAGGGTGGGGACTTTCCCATCATCAGAGGGGTGACGAGCGTTGCCAAATGGTCAGGAATATTCTCCTCTACTAGAGGGGAAGCAATAATCGGATGTCTGGGAAGCTGGTCCCATAACCAGAAGAGGTGCAGCAAAAAGATGTCCACCATCTAGCACCCTCCCTCAGTGTCTTCACAAAGTCCACCCTGTTACCTCCCCCTGCCCAATCCATCCTACTACACATTTGACACACAGGAGGGTCGGTAGTAAATTTCTAGCTTTCATTTCAGCCAGTAATTGCCAGTTCTTCTATCAGTTTCCAACAAGAAGCTCAATGGCCAAATCCAGAGCTTAGGCTTAGAGAATCAAAGGTTGCTTTGGACCGTCTCTAAGATCTACTAAGAGCCAGGCCAATCAAACAATTTTTTAAAAGCCCTAAATCATAAACAATGCAGAGAACAGAGCCATCCTTTAAAAGTTTTATTGAACAGCAGCTTTTTCTGAGAGATGGTAAAACTGCAGAGCCCTGTACCCTGTCAGACTCAGGACTGGGTGAGGGTGTGGCCACTTACCAGTCAGACATAGTGGAAAAGTGTCCAAGGACAACAGTGACACCTCAGGCCCTTTGTCAGCAGG